TAACTTCAACAAGGATGTAGGAAGCAAGTCGAAGGCAATTCTCAAAGTCATATACTCTGATGTATGTAGTCCTATCCAGGTGGATTCGATTGGAGGTAACAAATATTTTGTCACGTTCATAGATGATTTCATTCGAAAGACGTGGACTTACCTGATCAAGAAGAAAAGTGAAGTTATCGAGGTATTTTCCAAATTCAAATGTATGGTCAAAAGATAGAGTGGTCGAAAGCTAAAGATTCTGAGGACTGATGGTGGTGGAGAGTATGTGTCGAAAGATTTCGATGCATTACATGAGAAAGAAGAGATTGTGCATGATGTGGTGTCACCCTACACTCCACAGCAGAATGGAACTGTAGAAAAGAAGAATAAAATCATCATGAGCATGGTGAGAAGTATGTTGAAAGGAAAGCATATATCCAAAGAATTATGGGGGAAAGTTGTGTTGACAGTAACATACATCTTAAATAGATGTTCGACGAAGAAGCTAGAAGGAGTTATGCCAGAAGAATGTTGGTCTGGTGTCAAGCCTAGCCTAAGTCATTTGAAGGTGTTTGGATCTATAACACATAGTCATGTGCCAGATCAGTTCAGAAGAAAGCTTGATGATAAGTCGAGTCAGATGATCCTAATAGGATATCAATCGACTAGAGGATACAAGTTGTTCGACCCAGTGAGCAAGCAAGTTGTGATACGCAGGGACGTGATTATAGACGAGCTTAAGAAATGGGATTGGACTGAGAATATTAAGAAGGATTCAATGAGAATCTTATATGAAGAACCAGCTAGTGAAGTCGAAAGAGAAGTTCAACAAGAAGAAGTCCGAGATGAAGCAGGCCTAAGAAGACCTCGACGAACAAGACACATGCCTGCAAGGTTTCAAAAATGTGTGATTACATCAGATGATGTGGTCAATGAAAAGGGTGAGCTGGTATATTTTTGCACCTGTTGCTAGGATCAAAACAATCAGGTTGGTTGTTGGTCTAGCAGACATGAACAATTGGCACACATGTCAGATGGATGTGAAATGTACATTCCTGAATGGCCCCTTAGATGAAGAAGTTTATGTTGCACAACCAGCTGAATTTGTGAAGTAAGGCGAAGAAAGAAAGGTGTATAGGATGCATAAAGTCATGTATGGACTTAAGCAAGCTCCAAGAGCTTGGAATAAGAAGATCGACAACTTTCTAAGGGAGGAGAAATTTATGAAGTGCACAAATAAACATGGAGTATATGTAAGGAGAAGCAATAGTGAATTATGTTTATACTATGTCTCTATGTCGATGACTTGCTGATAACAGGAAGTTGTAAGATCGAAGATTTCAAACATGATCTAAGTGAGGAGTTTGAAATGTCAGACTTGGGAAATCTCTTATATTTCCTTGGCATCGAATTCTACAAGAGTGGTAGAGGTTTGATGATGCACCAAAGAAGATATGCAGGAGAAATATTCAAGAAATTTGAGATGCAAGATTGCAATCCAACTTCGAATCCAGTTGAGATCAGATTGCAGCTGTCGAAAGATTCTGATGAAGATGATGTCGACTCAACCCAACATAAAAGACTTATTGGGTCACTTTGATACCTTTGTCACACAAGGCCTGACTTAGCATACAGTGTGGGTATGGTATGTAGATTCATGCAGAATCCAAAGGTATCACACCTAGCAGTGACAAAGAGGATACTGAGGTATCTGAAAGGAAATCTCGACTATGGCATTTTGTTTCCTACAGCTGATGAACGAAAATAATGCAAGATAGTGGGATACATTGATTCATGTTGGTGTAGTGATGCTGAGGATAGAAAATCTACAACTGTCTATGTGTTTATGCTAGGTGGTGCACCAATTGCTTGGAGTTCGAGAAAGGAGTCAGTAGTGGCATTGTCATCATGCGAAGCAGAATAAATAATTGCTTCTCTTTGTGCATGTCAAGCAACATGGATGGTGAACCAGGTTGAAGAGATTACAGGGAAGAGTCATGAAGCAATTACCATGAAAATCGACAACATGTCAGCTATCAATCTAACGAAAAATCCAATAGCACATGGTCGAAGCAAGCACGTCGAAATGAGGTTCCATTATCTTCGAGAGCGGGTATCAGAAGGGAAGATGAATTTGGAGCACTGCAGAAATGAGAATTAGATTGCAGACATCATGACGAAAGGAGTATAGGTCTAAGTGTTTAAGAAGTTAAGGTCTGTGATGAATGTAAATGGTTTAGACACAATGAATTAGGTAGTGTGTTGAGTTTGTAATTTCTTGTGTCGAATCAATGTAGCTCAACATAAACAAGGTCTGGTCGAATTAGCCTAATGTGTGTGTCGAAATGTCGAAGCAGGTTGATTCACACAGGATTTCGACTTAGGCCTATTTTAGTAATGTCAGCTATTTTGGGCTTTTATAGTTTTAAGCTTTGACTTGGGGTGCAAGTTAACCTAAATATATAAATAGGGAGAATTTTTCTATAGTTTGTGCGCAAAGAGAAACTCTGCAGAATTTTTCATCTTTTTCTCCAACGTTGTTTTTCTTTTTTTCTTTCCTAACCTTTTTATTTCATTGTCATTGCGTGATTGATAATAATCTTGAGATTAAGATTGAGCGTAATTCTTCATAAGTTGTGGTTGAATTCCAACAGACATTACCTATTGAACATCTGTTGTAGTTTGAATTGATCGAATTTTGAATTCTAATGCGAGTCTTCTTTTTTATCAACTCACCTAATAGGCTTTACCTTTTTTATGGATTTTAGAATTGGAGATTTCTTTTGGGGTAATAGTTTGGGTTGGTGTTTGGAGTAGAAAGTGGTGCTGGTCTTTGAAGTTTTTCTGGCTTTTCTGATGTAATAGTCTGCATATTTTTGCAATTCAAGATCTAGCCTATATTTTTGACAATTCCATTTTAGTTTTCATTTATGTTGTACTATTTATCTGGGGAAGGGGTTGTCATTTTTGTGTGTGTTGTAGTCTTGGAGTTGTATTCTTGAATGCAAAGTCATTAGCTAATGAGAATGAAATTATAATGTCATTAAAAATGTGAAAGCTTACTTCAATAAGTCTCAAAATTTCTTTTTTTAACTAACCGATCAAAATACAAATAATGTTAAGCCTTTAGAGGTAATGCTAGCAATTTTTTGAGAGTTTCATTCAAATCATGAACACATGAAATGACTTACATCATTATAGAGCCAACAAAGAGAGATTCAGAGACATTTTGTAGTCAATCTTTAAATTAGTATTGACAATGTATTTCATGTTATTTGTATATTTATTAAGTTAAACATAAAAAAATATAAATTTATCCACATTTATTTTAAGTATTTAAAAAAGAGTATGAGAGTTTATAATAAGTGTGTGAGTAGATATGTTAAAATTGTATTTTTTATTATAAAATAATTATCTTATTTGTAAAAAAAATTAAAATAATGATTTATTTAATACATAATTAAATAGTTTTTGTTTTTAATTATTTGCATTGCATAATTTATATTATATTTTGTATTAAATATTTATGAGAAGGATGAATAAATTCATCATTTCACCCTATAAATTACTCAAATATCAATATTTGAAATTTCAAAATAAATTTCCAAATTTGATGTTTGCTTGAAGTCTAATAGCTAACTATAAAAATTATAATAAATTGATAGTTGTAGTAAGTCAAAGACAATAAAATTTTAATACACTTTGTTTTCTTCTATTATAAAAATTATATGAAACAAAAATAGAATCATTGATCTAAATATTGAAAAGGAAATTTTTGTAAAAGTATTTGAAAAAGATTATGAAACTTATAATAAGAGAATGAGTAGATATTTTAAAATTGTATTATATTAATAGTGGTTTATTTAATATATCATTAAATAGTTTTTATTTTCAATTGTATTATTCATTTGTATCAATTTTATTCAATACGTTTTATTATGTATTAAATATGTACGAGAAATATGGATAAATTCATCAATTCACCTTGTAAATGACTCAAATATCAATATTTGAAATTTCAAAACAATGTGTTTGATTGAAGTTTTGATAGCTAAGTATGAAAATTATAATGAGTTTTGATAGTTGTTTTATAAGAAAAACTTGAATCACAATTGAAAAGACTGAAATAAATCTATCAATTCTTTTAATTTTTTTATTATTTTTAATCTCTCCGTCTAATTAATGGATCAAACTCCTCTTAAGTTGTTCTAAATAAGTCTATTGACGCCTCCTCATTGTGCTACAACATTGACACCATTTGGACGGACGTATTGGTGGTCCATTCGCCACTTTGACAGACGCATTGGTATAATTTTAAGAGTAGACTTCAATTAATCTAACGCAGGCGAATTTTTTTATTTGAAATATGAAAAGTTTATTATATAGTTGAAAAATACTTATTTTAAAAGAAGAATTCAATATTTTAAGTGTATATTATTTTCACGGTTATTCTTTCAAAAGTTAATTATCACCGTACGAGAAAGGTAAATTAGATATGACTTTACGGTAATATTCCTCATAATTTTTAAAAATTAAAAGAATTAAATAAATGAAAATAATAATAAATACTTGATAATATTTTAAAAAATATCATTAATATTATATTAAAAATATAAAATTACTTATAATTTGAAACAATTTTTTTTAGCAAAATAACTTGTAATGTTTGATTGAGGGAGTACAAAATACCTCACTTCCAATTCTTTCTTTCCTTCTACTTTCCTTTCTTTCATCTTTCTTTCCCTTTACTTTTTTTATAAAACCAAACACATCATAAATTTAAATTATACTACACAATACTGTTTCAAGTTTCAACGTCTGGACTCTGGACCCCACCGACCAATAATCTCTCGCAACTGTCAGAAACTTTTTTGACATTAACACCGCCCTATTTTTAAACTAAATTAAAACCCGCTAATTAAAATTAATCAATTAATCAATTAATCAATCGCGTGCTACATTTCAAATCGAAAAAGCGAGAGAGAAAGTGAGAAGAAAAACAAAGAACCAGTCTTTCAAAAATGGCGAGTGCAACAGGGTACGGTGACGCAAACCAGAAGATAGACTACGTCTTCAAGGTCGTTCTTATCGGCGATTCAGCCGTCGGAAAATCTCAAATACTAGCTCGTTTTGCCAGAAATGATTTCAGCTTGGACTCTAAAGCTACAATCGGTGTTGAATTTCAAACTCGCACTTTGGTTATTCAACATAAGAGTGTTAAGGCTCAGATCTGGGATACTGCTGGTCAAGAAAGGTTATCTTCTTCTATTTTTGCTACGGTTTTCGTTTTTGTGTCTTGAAGTTAATAGTACTTGTTTGTGGATCTTCTTTATTCGTCGATTTGCATGCTTTGCTGTTATTAGTTTGTGTGTCTTTGAAGTTTGATTTGAATTTGCCTTTGTTTCTGTTCGTCTCGGTAGCTTACTGCTAAACTTCATGGATCTTGGATTTTTTTGTTGAGTTGATTTACTGTGTGTTGTTCATGGTTTAGTTTTGTTGAGTTGAGATCTAGTTTCATGTTCTCTGTTAACTTTATTTATCAGTTATGAATGTTGAGATGATGTTCAATTTTAGTGTTTTGAACTTTAGAGTTTGAATTTTTTTCATGTATAGACTTTTTTTAGGGTTTAATGTGAATGCATTTGACACATTTTTGAATTAGTTTGACTGATGTCAACTACACGAGGTCTGAACGAAATCGAAAGTATCACATTACCGGTGGTTCTTGTTTTTGCGTAGGTTTTCTATTGGATGAGTTTGAGCATGTGTGACTAAGTAAAAAAAGGAATAATATATTCAAACTAATCTTGCATGTGAATTAGAAATCTACTTAGCAGATTTATTGATTTATAAGGAAATTTATCACAAGTAGGTACTTGATTTACTCAGCAATGGTAAATATCGACCAATATTGCGGGTTTTTTCACCATAATCCGCTATAACGGCGCCGCAAAGCGGCCAGTACGTAACGAGAGATGTCTGTGCTACCTTCCAAATCCAAATAAGATACATCTATTGTGTGATAAATGATACCAACACACTTTCTGTAAATATGATTGGTCTATTTTTTATTAGTCAACGTACATATTGTTTTAAGGGAAAAAAGTAAAACAATGAGTTTCAACACCATAAACTTAGCTTTATAATTGTTGTTTGTAGATCTTATTTCTTTTTTCGGTTTCCTCTGCTTATCGTATTTGCAAACTTCGATGTTGGTTTGTGTTTTTGAATTGAATTTTCTTTCGTTTCTGTTCATTGCAGTAGTTTACTGTTTATATTTCTTTGTCTTCAATCTGATAGAGGTGAAGGATTTTTATTGTTGGTAATTTTAGCTTTGAGTTGGATCTTAGGTTTACTTGCTGATTTTGATCTACTGTGTGCTGATAATGGGCAGCATCGGTGACCTGTTCAATGTTGTAGGGATCCAGTTTCATGCTCACTGTGAATTTTAGTTATCAGTTTTAAATAGTCAAATCAAGTTCAACTCTATTGTTTTTAACTTTAGAGTTTATTGTTTCCAATGTTATAAACATTTTATGCTTTAATATGAATGCATTTGACGCATCTAGTGTTGTCGATAGTGGATGGCGGTCCATGGCGGCAGAGAGCCAAACTACCGCCATACCGGCCGCTTTGTGCCGTCGTTTTAGAGGAAAAGCCCGCAATATCGGCCAATATTTACCATTGCGGCTAGTCCAAAAACTGCCATGTATATCCGCCATGGCGCCGCAATTTGATAACACTATGCATCCTTAAATATGTTTGACTGATGTCAACTAACAAGGTCAGAACTAAATCTTAAGTATTATTTCTATTAGTAATCTCGGTGCTTTTTGGTGCCTTTTGTTTTTACCTGGGTTTTCTTCAGGATGAGTTTGAGTAGGTGTGGCTACGTAAGAAGAGGAATTAGAGACTACTACTCAAATTAATCTAGCACGTAAATTAGAAATCTACTTAGCAGATATATGGAACTCACAACGGAATTATCACAAGTAGATATTTGATATATGTTGTGCCTTGTTGCAGTTTGCATGCCCTTTTATCAGCATATTAGAACTTCAGTGGTGATTAAATAGTCTTTTCGAACTTTGATAATCCATTTAGTAAGCTAATAGAGGTTCGATATCATCATAATTACCTTAAATATTCAACAATAACTTAATAGAATCCTTAGCAATGATTCCTATAGCCTTATGATAAAATCATCAATCATTAATACGTATCCATGTCAAACACATACATCCTGAATTTTAACACAGTTGACATATATTGACTTAACACGTGGCATATGCTGCATGATTTCAAATGTCCAAAACTGTAAAATGAAATAATGAGTGATGTCTGTGCTGCATTCCAAATCCAAATAAGACACATCTATTGTGTGAAAAGTGCTACCAGCACACTTTCTGTATATATGATTGGCCTATATTTTATTAGGCAACACATTTGTCTCAAGTTATTTAGGTTTGAAGTGTGTTGACTTTTAAAAAATAGACTAATTGTGAAAAAGTGTGGTGTAGCTAGGATGATATTCTTAGGAACTGGGATCTGGGTGTTGAGAGAAGAGGGGTTCATAAAGGTACTTTGCTTAAAAGGAAGAGAAATAGTAATTACTAATTCGGAGTTAGTGAGATTGGAGGAAGAAAACAGTTTGTAAAATGAGTGTCTCTAAGAGAGTCTTGCCTTTCCTTCTAAAACCCAATTATCCATGAAATTGAATTCCCTATTATTCTCTTCCCACATCTTTATAACCTACATCTACCACTGCACTTGAAGGAAGGCTGTATATATTGCAGCATGTTTAATTTGAAAATTACCACTCTTTGAAATGAAAACCTATCAGTCTTTTGGATATTAATTATTAATAAATATTTCCAAAACTCGACAATTTTGGCTCATGTTGTTATGTCTTTACTCAAAGCATTGCCCATGTTCTTTTAATCTGCAGAGTTTGGTTATATTTTTTCTAGTACTCATTTATAACCTCAAATCAAGTCAATCAATAGTTAAATTACAAGTACATTGAATATTGATTGCAATTTTCCTGATATATATTTAAATGGCATCTTCTACAGATATAGAGCAGTTACAAGTGCATACTACAGGGGTGCTGTTGGGGCAATGTTGGTTTATGACATTACCAAACGTCCGAGCTTTGACCACATACCTAGATGGTTAGAAGAACTGCGTAACCATGCTGATAAGAATATAGTCATCATTCTTATAGGAAACAAAAGTGATCTTGAGGACCAGCGTGCAGTACCGACAGAGGATGCAAAAGAGTTCGCTGAGAAAGAAGGTTTATTTTTCTTAGAGACCTCTGCACTGGAAGCAATTAACGTTGAGACAGCCTTTATGACTGTTTTGACAGAAATATTTAACATTGTCAATAAGAAGAACCTGGCTGCTGATGAGAATCAGGGAAACGGCAACTCGGCATCTCTGTCTGGCAAGAAGATTATTATTCCTGGTCCTGCACAAGTAATCCCCGCTAAGAGTAGCATGTGTTGTCAGTAATTCTGAGTTCAATTATAGTTTGTTTCAATTTACTAGATTTTCATGGCTCTATGTTCCTAATGTTTTGGCGCATTTCCCGTGTAAATTTACATCATTCAAAATTTATTTTGCCTGACTTGTTGATTTAAGACCTGCAGTTTAGAGGCAAGTTACAAACTGCTTGTTACAGTCCCTAGTGATTTAATAGATGGTGGCTGAAATTGGAACATTGTTGATTGTAAAATATTGTCATTCCAAATACCCTAACATAGATAGAGGCTGTTACTGCTGTGGCCTGGTTCCCCTCTCCGATCTATATTGCTTGGCTGAACTTGCAGATAGTTCATTGAATTTCCAGGTTCAAATCAATCGGCAATGTTAAGAAAACTTGGTACAAGTATTACACAAGGCAAAACCTGACTGCTTCAATAATGTTAATTAGCCATTCTTCCATCATGTATTGACATTGTGTGTTCGTTTATAATAAATTAATAAACTCACACACTTATCGTGTTCAAGCAATGTTGGTGAAACTTGCTAACACCATTTTGAATTTGATTAACCTTCCTAACACTAGCCTCAACATTTTCAACATTTAACATTTGCTTCTTCGCCTCTTTATTTTATCCAAATTGACAAATATACTCTTTTTTTTCACATTTTTTCAACTGACTAGATGAAAAAATCACTCTAAATTGAAAAACATTGATCTGGTTTGTACATTTTTCTATAACACTTGACGGTTTTTGTTAATTTTATTCTACACTGGATTACTTAAAATTGAGTAATTTGGTGTGCTATCAGTTTTTTCTTAACCAGATTACATCTTTTTGATTGACTCAGTTTGTTGTTTTGGTATACATCGGAATACATCTTTCTGAATGGTTCAATTTATTAATTTGTTCTTTATTGGATTACTTTCCTTTGAGTAATATGATGGGCTTTTTTCTAATTAATATTTTCAATTTATGTTTATTAACATATCTATTTCTAATGGTGCGAAGTAGAGGTTCAACGGTAGGATCATTGTGTCCAAACGAGGTGGTTCTCCAACAATTAAGCTAGCTTGCGATAGATGCATGAGAGAAGGAGCAAGCTGAACCTTAGAAACACTAACATTTTAGAAGGGCTGTATGACACGTTTGTTCTGACATGTTACAGATGTCATGCTGACAATCAATTAGACTTAGTTAAGGGTGGACCCTTAAATTAGTTATTGACTCGTTTTTTTTTTATGAGCATTAGACTCATGATCTTATTATTTTATTTATTTTTGTTAAGTTTACATTTTATAAAAGTTTTTTAAAGCCCACTTTTAATAAGATTTTTGAATGGACAACCAAATCACTCGTGTTTATACATTAATAATAATAAAAACATAAAAAGATTAATTACTATGCATTATGCATTGTCGGTGTAAAAAATTTTACATTGTTAATGCATCACCATTATTCGTTTGCATTACTTTTATTGTGGTTAAAATAAAATCAAACTATTTTTAACATTCAACATCTATGATTCATTGACAATGTAAATTTTTTTACACTTCCAATGCATTTTAATTAAATTCAAAAAAAAAAAAAATCTGACGAAGAAATACTAACATACCAAATAATTTTATTTAAAATTGTGTGGTAAACAATTTGGAAAAGAAAAAAGAAATGGGTGAAAAAATTTATTTATCTTGTCAGTTGTAATAAAGTATTCTGATAAATTATATTAACTGAAACTTTTACAAATTGAAAGAGTGAAAATTCTCCAAATTAAAAATAAAAAAATTGACATTCTTTTAAAAATTTTATAAATACATTTAACTATAAAAAAACGTATCTTTATCGTATTCAAACAGTGTTTTTCTTTTTCTCTTGTAATAAATTTATTTATTTTTTAATTCTTTTATAAAAGACACTTTACATTTTTAAATTTATTAAATAATTAATATATTTAGTCCATAATATGTATCAGATATATTAATTATTTAATAGATCTAAAAAAAAATAAAGCGATCCTCTATTTTATACATTTGTTAATAGTATGAAAATTTTATTAATCATACATAAAATTTTTACAAGAGAATAGTTAAATATTTTATCATTAGTTATACTTAAAATAACTAGTAATTATAAATTTGAATTATTTAACTTTTTGAATTTCAATTCTTTTTAAATTTCTGTTTGTAACTTTTTTGTATAAGTTATTAGATTTTAAAATTTCAATTTAAATTTTTAATTTTTTTGAATTTTTATTTCTGTTTTAACCGTTTTAGTGATTCGATATTTTTCATATAGGTTTTTGGATAATTCGATATTTTATGATATTGATATTCGACAACACTGACGGAAAGACACCGGAAAACAACAAGAAGAAACTAACGCAGGGATGAAGCCAAGCCAGGTCCTGCGCCCATAGACTTTACCTATATGCCCACCATATAGTGAGTTTCAACATTACAGATCCTATTCTAAAACAAAAGGGAGACATTCTTAAAACTACTTAAAATAAGCTTACAATCAATGACAATTGGTTCCAACACAGCAGAAATTTTGAGATCATTAATATAATCTACAACAGTTAGGGCATCCGAAAGGAAGATCACATTGTCCAGATCAAGGTCCCGCGCAATCTGCATGAAGTAGCAAAGCTGAATTATTTTTAATAAAATCATACAAAATAGTCACAATTGTGATAAATATAAGAGCGATAATTGATTATATTATACTAGTAAATATTATTTTATACCATAATTTTAGATTTTAAATCATCACTACATTGGTAAAAATGGGATTTTTGAATTTTTATTATACTATTATATTATATTATACCATTTTTTAAGAAAGCATGTGGATTTTTATTATTGAATTTTTATTTTATACCATTATATTATATTATACTAGTATCATTATGCCAAAAAAGACCTATAGCAACGCTTTTTTTGGTTTTTAACAGCGCTTAAAACCGCTGTCTAAAGTGGCGCTGCTATAGGTAAAGGCACTACTTAGGCTTTATACATAACCTTCTTACAATCATTGTAATTCAACACGATCCTTTATTTCAACACATAGGCCTTATATGTATATTATCATTCAATAGAAACGATCCATACTTATAAAATATATTCCAAAACCGATAATGTCACAATATTCACTATACGTATAATCAAAAATTCCATAAGTACGGATCCTCACAACAACACAATACGACTTCGATCTAGAAGTACATCAATAAATTCCAAAATTATATACGATTTCCAGAACTATAATTATCCAGTAGTATGTACAGAACATCACAACAACACAAATCTCCGATCAAAAGACATAAAGACAATATACATTATACAATTCTCATCTCAAGAATGTATTGACACCATTCCTCCTTAATTTCTTCCAATTTTTCTTTCGAGTAAGTGTCACACTTGAATTCATCAAAGTACTACATAATATAAGATAACATGCATGATTTAGTTAAAACTAATTACTTAGATGAAATACCGGTTAAATATCAAAATAAATCATATAATTATAAATCCATACCATGTTTGGAATCTCTATTTGCCCCAAATGAATAATTTCCTTCATAAACCTCAATACAAAACATCCGCAATCAATACCATTACGCTGACGAGGACACTACACATGGAAAAAAAAATACGAATACATATCAGGATATATAGTTTAACTAGTTTTAGTAAACAACATCACTATAATAATCAAAATTGTGAAAATATACCTACACTCTGATCCAACTAATGTTGTTAGCCTTACTCTTTGTTACTCTTGCTTGTCTTTGTGATCAAAATATTTGTATAGCTCTAAACATAATATAAACAAATATTTGTAGCAATCTCACATAATAAATAAAGATATACATGAATTATTCAGAACAATCTCATCACTTACGTATCAACCATCTTCTTCATATCAGGATATTTTGTTTGATCCCCATCGAATGAATCCAAATAATACACAATTTCTTTTATCGGATTAATCGCGACCAACAACCAGTGTCCACTGTAAAATAAGACAAAATTTTAAATGAAAATGTTATAGAGAATGTTTAAAAAGAATAATTATAATAAATGAAATTAGAATGAAATTTAACCCATGGCCAGTATTATATGGCAAAAAATACAACTTTTCTGTACCCGTGGCCATAAATGCTCGGACTACGTAATCTCTGACTGCATCTGGATTGTGTTCGATTAACCATGCGTTAATACAGCTAGAAGATAAAAATGAGAAACTTTCTGTCAATTGATGCGGGACCAATAACCTTTCATACAAGAACCTTAAATAAAAACATAAACAACATTAGGATTAATATTAATTGTAATGAGCAAATAAATTGATCAATTATATATTTAATTAAAATTGATCGGAATACCTGATGTATGAATGAATAACACCGATGCCCAATTCATAATGTTGGAAAACCTGATCCGAATCCTCTTTAGCAATTGTTTCATCATAAGCAAATCCGAAAATACCTTCCTCCATATGTATTTGACGAATGCCACCCTCCACCACATCTGTTGTTTCGCCATATGTTTCAAGGCACAACCTAAATCGAGGAACAGATGCTTTTTTAGGCTCAACCTTTTTTTTGTTGGACACCTTGCTAGATTCAGGCATCTTATCCTTGCTGACTTTTTGCATCTCTTGAGCTTGAATCTAAAAATCATATAAGTTAGGTAATCTAAAAATCAGAGGATATAATTTAGATTTTCTATTCATATATATCAATTAATGTACCTGTTTTTTTTATGTATTTGACTCGGTTTCCCGCACAATAATCCCGTTATCTTTTGGTTTAGATTTTGTAGGAGTCTAACATTATCATGTAAATAATGGTGTTCACGTAAATGTAAGAATAACTTACATGTAGTAAAATATTTGAATACTAAAAGGTTCATAATGGTGTTCAACTTACCTCATCATCTATGAAAATGAAATTTGAGGGTCATGCAACATACGATCCTATTGTGTCTCCCACCAATGTTACATCCGAAACATCGTCTGGTATAG